AAAAAGTTTAAATCATTCTCTTTGTTTTTAATATTTTTTTGTAAGTAATATCAATACACATATACTTCTTTCCCTGAGGTACGTGTATAATCTACATGTTAAATGTAGAATATACATAGTATATGTATAATATACATGTTTGATGTATAATATACATGTTAGATGTAGAATATACATAGTATATGTATAATATACATAGTGGATGTAGATAACAGATGTAGCAAACAAATTTTTTTTCTTGATTCTACAATTCTAAAGAATCATAGCTCAAAAATTAATATACTGACTGAGTCCGGGTATAAGTAGAGTCGCGTCCCCAGAAGTGACTCACACGTTCCTTCTCGTTGTAAATTATTTCTATAAAATATAATAGCTTTCTTATTTCAATAGTAAAATGGTCTTTTAAGTACAAGGTTTTCTTTATTAAAGCTGATTCTACTTCTGCAATTATGTAATTTTAATCAGTTCATTTATATGTGCGTCCTACTTTGACAAAAATTGAAAAAATAAAACCTCTGCATTCATGTAAACGAGAATTCTCTGTGTTTGGTCTCCCAGCCGAGCATTATTTAGTATTTTTAGGCAGTGGTGCAGCATTAAAGTAATTCCTGTTATTTGTTCGTTGTTTTCACTGCTCACTGTACCTAAATATAATCAACACGCCCCCTCACTGTAATAGCCGTTTCAACCGTTGTTGTGAGCTGTCGGGCTTTTCCGACCGCTTGAATCATTTCCAAAAAAAAGTCAGAACGCGAGATCGTTTAAACTTAACAATGTTGGCTTTATTCTCGACAAGCGACAAATTCAATCCGTGTGTTTTATGGCGAAGGGTTACAGAACTATCGATATCTATCGTGGCTGATGGTCGCTCCTCATAAAAAGTTTTATTTTCGACGTTTAATTAAAACTAATTGTGTTTTATTAGTGTACCCTGTGTTGTAAACCGACCGTGCAATCTGTCCACTACCTGTGCTCGTTTAGTTAGCGTATTTTTGTGTACTATTTTCATATTTAAAGTCAATCGGTCTTCCTCATTTCTTCCGTGCATTCGTATTCACAGCTGTGTTGTTGTTGACAACAACAACTCCGTTCTTCCTACATACTTGCACTGACGCTCTATGTTCGTCGCCTCTACGAGCCCGCCTAAAGCTTTACGTTTATCTCGTTTCTGTGTTTAAGCTTTGTTTGCTTTGATAAGGCTAACTGCGTTTCGAGCCGCCACCGTCGAACGCTTTTTGTTGTTTTTGCGATCTTTGTTATTGTTTGTGCGTTTATCTGAGTGTTACAAGCGTGAGAGACAGCTTTACCATAAACACCGACTTATTCTTTGATTGACTGATTGTTACCTTTTCCCCATCTATTTTTTTTGTTTCTTTTTCTTTCGGTCTACACTCTTATAATGAGTACTTGCTGTGCCAAAAATTGCCGCTTGGTAGCCGTAAAGCAAATTTTCACCTACTGCTGGCTGTGTGACAACATGGCACATAAGGTAGGCGCTGACCTCGGCCAAATCGGTGGACGCGTGGTCGACTTGATTAAGTCTCGATGTGGCCTTAACTGGACATGCTGGGACTGTTGGCAGGTTGAAAGCGACATGCGAGTTTTTATGAGACAAACATAATGAATTCGCGGCCGTCAACTCTGGATTCCGACTGTTACAGGAAAAGTTTCTTTCTATGGAGTCTCACTTCAAAAATCTTAAAATTTTGACTGAGTCGCCTTAGAGAAAGAAAGGTAACAACAGTCTGCCCACTGGTAACAAAGGTGTTTTTCTTGCAGTTCCGTCTTTAATAGACTTTGGTGCTGTCAAACTTGGCTGTAATGGGGCACCGACTGTGGCTTCTGCATCCGCCTCCTCAACAGCCGCCTCTCCCGTGCCAGTGTCTGACTGCGATGTCAGGCGGGAAGTCAATGATGATCCTGTCGCTGGAGCTTCGGTGCCTTCACTGAAACCCGCTGACGCTGCCGCCAGCATGGATGTGGAGGCTCCATCTGCCTCGGCATCCATCGTCAACCAAGAATATGGCCCAATACACTACTCGACAAAATTGAACTTTTTATTTAGGCTGTGAACCAAAATTACTTTTTCTGATAGATTTCGGGATTTTTGTAGTACTTTATTATTTTTTTTATGGTGTCATTTTTTTTAAAGAATGTTTAAAATCTGGTATTTTTTCACATGGTTTTTTTCAGAGGTAGTGCTTCTATTTTTCACATAACTTAAGTATCTTATATCTGGTTGCATAGAACTTTACAGTTCTGTAAAGCTGACAAATGCAGCTATAAATCCGATCCAAACACTTTGTATCTGTAGCTAAAGACCTTTTTGCGGCATTTTTTTTTTCGAAATTTTGATTTTAAAAACTCTGGAAGAGTATAAAAAAAATAATTCTTGGTCAACATTTTTGGTTTTAGATGGACGTAATAATTAGGCGTCGTTTAAGGTATTGCTCATTAAAACTATGGATAAACGGTAAACTTTCAACCGTTTGATCAAAACGACTCAAAACTAATTTTACCTGAAATTAGTGCTTTTTTTTAGTATAACTTAAGTATCTTATATCTGGTTGCATAGAACTTTGCAGTTCTGAAAAGCTGACAAATTCAGCTATAAATCGGAGCACTTTGTATCTGCAGCTTAACGCCTGGAAGATATTAAGCTTTCAAATTCAAATTTCATCATTTTTTGCGGTATTTTTTTTCGATATTTTTAATTTAAAAACTCGGGAAAAGTCGAGAGAAAAATAATTCTTGGCATGCATTTTAAAGTCGTTTAAAGTATTGTTCATTAAAATCTATGGATGACCGGTCAACTTGCAGCCGTTTCACCAAAAGGACTCAAAACTAATTTTACCTGAAAAATACCGTTGCACAACCTCTGAAAAACACAATGAAAAAAATACCAGGTTTTAAAAATTAAAAAAAAAAAATTTACACCTTAAAAAAAATAATAAAGTACTACAAAAATGTTTAAATCTATCAGAAAAAGTCATTTTGGTTCACAGCCCAAATAAAAAGTTCAATTTTGTCAAGTAGTGTTATACAAGTCGAATTCATGGTGAATTTTGGTGATTTTTTGGTCAGAGTCTGGGCCCATGAGCTTGGGGGCCCCGGTGCGCCGCACCGTCTTGGACGTACGTAGCTACGCCACTGCTTGGATTGCCTCTTGTGGCCGTAAAACGTTTGATGGCGGCCAGGAACGAAGCTGTCGTCAGATCCTTTACCAGCTCCAGCCATACTGCCTTGGTGGCGAAGCAAATAAACAAATAAACATATGTAACACTTCTTTGGGGCCTTGTTGCGTACATCGGTCTTGTAGTAAAAGGGTCCACAGTAGTCAATCCCGGTCACACTGAATGCCGGTGACTTCTCCACTCGATCCTTTGGTAAATCTGCCATTATGTGCTTCCCGAGACGAGGCCGATATTTACTGCAGATGATGCATTTCCGCAATGCGCGAGAAACCCTCTTTATTCCGCCTATCGGCCAATACTGCAACCGAATCAAGCCGAGCAGCGACTGCGGGCCTGCATGGTGATGCTTCCGGTGAAAGTGTTGTCTTTTCAATAGCAAGGTTCTTTACAACCAGACGTAAGATACTAGAGTTATGTGAAAAAAGAAGCGCTACCTCTAAAAAAAGACTTACAAAAAAATACCAGACTTTGAAAATTCTTAAAAAAAAGTTCTGCCATAGCAAAAAAAACCATAATTCTTTAAAAAAAATTTAAAGTCCCATATCTATCAGAAAAAGTCGGTTTGGATCCTTGAGGAAAAAAAAAGTTCGATTTTATCGAGTAGTGTAATTGGATGGCGAGCATAATAATCAAACGATGAGTGTTGAAGTCGTCCACCTATGCGAATTAATCCAAACGAGTCCAGAACAGGAGACAGCAATGCAATGCTGCTTGACGAATCGATTTTACTTTCATTTGTCAAAGCCTTATACTCTGGAGACAACGAAGCCCTTTGAACAATGCCAAGGAACATGTGGGTTCCCCCACGAACATCCTCGAGTGTAAGCTTTGGTGACCTAATCCCTTTGACGAATTTAAAAACATATCCAAAAATTCGTTGCATCGTTCCAAACGAGTTGATGTACTTCAAGTTACGCGAAATGTCCACTCGAGCCGAAGTTAGCAGAGCCTTCTGCCGAACTTCAGGAAGGTCTCTCTCTGGCAAACAAGATTTAGGCCAATTATCCTTCTCCATTTGTAGAAATGCCGGTCCCCTCACACACATAGACGACTGCAAGGGTTCCTGAGGTGAGGCTCCCTTGGAAATTATGTCAGCCGGATTCAACGCGGTCGGGACCTAATTCCATTCTATTCCCTGCGTCAGCTGCTGTATGGCATCGACCCTGTTGGCAACGAACACGTTGAATTTCGAAGACTCTTCCTTCAGCCACGAAAGCACCACAGAGGAGTCTGACCAATAATAGACTTTGCAATTGAGTGCTTCTATCCTCAAGACCTCGCTAACCAAGTGCGCAAGAAGCGAGGCACCACAGAGCTCTAACTTGTGAATGCCCATCGTGTTCAGAGGTGCCAGCCGAGATTTCGAATAGAGTAGATGTGTCTGAACTCCAAGTGAGGTAACCGATCGCGTATAAATGCACGTTCCAAACGCAGCGAGACTGGCATCACAAAATGCGTGCATTTCGAGCCTGGCTCCAACTTGTAGAACGTAGCGAGGAAACTAAGCACGGTCAACTTCGGCAACATCCTGGCAGAATAGGGTCCATTCACTCTCCAAAGCCTGCGGCAAGCTCTCGTCCCAGTCCAACTTACTTCTCCACATCTTCTGAAGAATTATATTCGCTCTTGTCAATGTTGGTCCGATTAAACCGAGGGGATCGTAACACCGTGCGATTACAGTTAGCACAGTCCGCTTTGTGTGTCGGCTAAGACTGATGTTGGGTGCAAAGGTGAATAAGAACTTGTCCTTGCGTGGATCCCATACGAGCCCAAGAGTCTTTGTAATGTCGCTCCCGTCGTCAAACTTTAAAAGGGTTTGAAATCCCGCAAAACGACTTTCGAGCCCAATGGATACGACGAAGACCCATCCATGGCGAGTTGTTGCATTGCACGAATGGCCAAAAATGAAGCAGGCTTGGTGCCATACGTGACCGTGTCCAGCTTACAAACTAGGATGTCATCTTTGGGTGAATCACGCCACAAGATGCACTGTAACAGAGAAACTGGCTCTTGCACGCGCGCACATCGGTACATCTTACAAACGTCTCCGGTAGTTCCAATAGGAAATGTACGAAAACGCACTAGAGTGGTGAAAAGCTTCGCCTGAATTGTGGGCCCTGACATTAGGAGCGCATTTAACGAGAATCTAGACGACGTCACTGCTGAGCCATTGAACACGACCCTTAACTTTGTGGAAGAACTCTCCTCTTTCAATACGCAATGGTGCGGCAAGAAGTATTTACACTCATGTAATTGCGAGCTAGGCACGTATTGCTCCTTAACCTTTGGATTTCGACTAAACTTGCGCTCAAGATTCTCAAATCGGCTTTTAGCTTGCAAATACGAATCGCCTAACGGACCTACATCACGCTTCATCGGCAGATGAACAGAGTAGGCAACCTACTGTAGGCAACCTACTGTAGTGCTGCTTGAAGTGCTCTTCAGAATGCTCTTCTGCGGACATCCTTGAGATTGGCTCGTAGACATGTTCTACTTCTCAGAACTGACGAACCTAACTGGTTCGGGGTAGGGGCAGGCGTTGCTCTTTGCGATGCAACGAATGATGACGACTGGGGCAGTCGATTGCAGCCTCCCGATAACACCCATCCAAGGACTGTTTTTTGCAGCAATGGCAATCCCGAAGCTAAATGGATTTTGCCAACGCACAGCAATTCAAAAAATATATCTGCTCCGATGAGCAAATCAATTCGCTGTGGTACGAAAAACGATGGATCAGCAAGCTGTATTCGACGGTACGCTCCAAGATTCAATGTTGCACGAATGGCTGCTCGTCTGTTATCCGCGTAGCTACAACGGCCTTCATGGTTGTTGCGTACTCCGAGATGCGAGATTTTAGGACGATATCGACTGAGTAACCTTCTGTGGTAAAGCTGACGTCTCCAATGCCTGAAACTGCAGCCAACGATTTCCTTTTGCGAAGTATTAGCTGCTCCACAAACCGAGAAGTGACGAAATGAACTTGGGAACCAGGATCCAAGAGAGCTGGACAAGGTAGAAACGTGCCAGCCAGATCCTTGATGAGCACAACAGCTGTTGCTAGAAGCACCACATCAGACGAGATACGAGTGGACTGGGGAGCGCTGGGCGAAAGTGTGACCATCGAGCTAGGTCGGGCAATGCTGGGGTTAATACCAGCAGATTGGTCCATAGACTGCGTGGATACGGGCGATGGCATGTAATGAAGCAGCGCATGGTGCTTTGATTGGCAGGTACGGCAGGGACCTGATCGGCAATCTCGCATCTGATGGCCCTTAGGGTACGTACTCACGGTCTACTGGCTTGCTAACCTGACCAGAGTTCCCATGCAAGGCGTGATCAACATTTTCCGACATCTTTTGTCCAGAAAGGCACACAATTTCTCCCAAAAGGGAAGATCTTGATTCGACGAGCCTTCTTCCCATTTCGATTGAGTCGCCCTGTCCAACTTCTGCACAACTGCGTGAACGATTACGCAATCGGCGATCTCCTCTTTTGTTGCCAGCGATTCCAGCGCGCGAAGATGTGCGGTGAAGGAGTCCGTAAACGCCCGCAGCTTGCCAACCGATGAATCCGCTCGCTCCAGCTCCAGCCCTCTCTAATGTGTGCCTGTAGGATGAGACGTTTATTACTAAATCGTTTTTAAGTATATCTAATGCAGTCGTATAGTTGGCCTGGTTTATCTCCAACAAACTAATGGTGTCCAACGCCGCGCCGCTCAAACATGTTCGCAAATGTTGCAACTTCTCGATACTAGTCAGATCAGCTTCACTATCAATCACAGCAGTGAACATTATATAGAAGCTTGACCAATTGGTATAGGCTCCGCTGAACTTGGGCAGCTGCAGCTGCGACAAACGCGATCGATTGGCCATATACAAGTTAACTCCAAAAGAGTTCAACGACACACAAACCATAAATCAAAAGAAATCTTGCACAATAGTTTGTTGCCCTGCCACTTGCAAAAACATTGCGCAAGAAAAATTTCAAAAAGTAAAATTCCATTTCCTGCCTGATCATGCGCCGAGAGGTGAACTTCTCAAGAACCGCTCATTTCGGATCATCATCGCCCCACCCCGTCGTTGACACAGGACAATGCTGACAGTGCGTCTGCACAGAGTCGGTTCTCCCGAAACCCCACTGCCACTGCTAACCGTTCTGCCGCTGCCAACATTCCGCCGCGTCGAATAATAGGTTACGTTAAGATTTTGTACACTAGCTTGAGTCAGTTGATAAATTTGATTCGAATAAATAACTACATTTGCTCAAATAAAAAGAATTTTTCCTTTTGTTAAAAGGACAAAATTAACTGGCGCCCGAACAGGGACCTGACTAGTGAACAATACAACAAAAAGTTTAGTACCTTCGCGAAAACTGCAACAACTTGCAGCCGTCGGTCTCGAAACGCAAAATACCGGTTCAACTCGCAACAATACTTCGTTATATTGCCCGGTATAGCCCATTGGTGGACTACCATTCCTGAAAGAGTTCCGTACTCAGGAAAGCCAACAACAAGGAGTGAATCTCAGGAACCTGAGTAGGTTTATAGCATCCAAAAAGGACCAATTCCGGATCACCCGTTGGAGGAGCCACATCTCAACGATGTTAAGGTAAGTAAGGTGATAAGAAAACAAAGTGAATACGAAAATTCTAAGAAAACTTCTGCCAGACAGGAAAAGAAACACAAAAGTGAACAATTTAAACATAAGACAAGAAAGAAACAAATTTGGAGTATTCATATCTCATTAAATAATATTAAAACATTTTACAATGGCAAACCCCGACGACTTAGTCAGACCAGCCGTTCTGGCCCATGATCCAAATAGACAAAATAACAATAGAGAAGAAGTTACGCAGATGGTAACTACCTTAGTGACTACAATACTAGAACAGTCGTTACCAGGAATAATTAAAAATATAATCAATCCAAACGCTGACTTTCTCAACGTTGCTGACCAAGTTATTAATCCAGCTCTTGGAGGGAATTTGAACGATTTAGATAGAATCCCAGACATAGTAAAGTGTATTCGAGAATATTCCAGTAATCCAGCCGAATTTAGCTATTGGAAAAAACGAGTAGATAGAATTCTAACAAGAAGGAACTCCAAAACATTTTGGGATCATTCATTCCATTCGTAACAAAATTGTTGGGAACGCTGATACGGCATTAGAATCTTATAATGTTCCACTCAATTGGAATGCGATTTCCAAGTGCCTAACCCTTCACTATGGTGACAAAAGAGATCTGGGTACACTAGAATACCAGATGACTACAATAGTTCAGGGCAACCAATCAGTAGAAGAATTTCATCAGGTCGTTTATAAACAATTACTCTGATTCTCAACAAAATAGGTTGCATGGAATTAGGTAGAGAAGCTGAACAATTAATGACAAAATTATACCGAGATAAAGCACTAGATACTTTCATAAGAGGACTACGAGGAGATCTCCCTCGACTTCTAGGAATGCGGGAACCAGTAGACCTCCCATCGGCACTACACCTGTGTCTTAAACTAGAAAATCAAAATTTCCCCGCTGTTCATGCTAATAACAAACCCTAATTTCAGGATTTAGAGGATCAAATCAAAAACCGATCCTAGCACCAAGATCAAATTTCAATTATAACAAACAACAACCTCAATACAATCAATATCAATATAATCAGTTTAAGCCCCCAATTCCACCACGTCAAAATTACAATTACCAACCTCCACAATTCGCGCAGAATTATTCTCGACAACAAGTCCCTCAAAATTACATTCCAAATCGGCCAATCGCACCTAAGCCGCAACCGAAACCAGAACCAATGGACATAGATCCAAGTATCCGTACTAGGAATGTAAATTACATGAATCGTCCGCAGTTCGAAGTAGGGAAAAGACCCCCCAACAACGCAGAATTATGCAGAAAAGAAACAGAGACAGTTCAACGTCCAAACAAATGAAAAAGAAACCAACACCTAAGCTGACGCCGAATATTACGCTACGATGGCAGAATACGAACAATTAAAAACAGACTACGAGAATGAAAACAACTTCGAACAGAGTTTTGAAGAATACTTGCAAGAACCAGGTGACGATAACGTAAATGCAAATCCAGAACAATATAGTGATCTTCATTTTTTAGTATAAAAAACTCCTCATTGCCTTACATCGAATGTAAACTGAGGAGTGGGAAAATTCTAAATGTATTAATAGATACAGGTTCAAACAAAAGCTATATTCAACCCAAACACGTCAATAACCCCACCTTAAATGAAAAACCATTTAATGCAGTAACCGTTAGTGGTAGTATTAGAATAACCCACTACAAATGGCCAATCTTTTTAATATACCAGGTACTAATGTACAATTTTTCCTTTTACCAACTTTAAGATAATTTGACGCCATACTAGGAAATGACTATCTAAGAGAATTAGAAGCAGTCATTGATACCAATAAACAAATAATAAAAATAAAAAATGGAAACACCATTCCCATAAAAGAAAAACATTTCGAAGCCGTCAATATTATGTTCGATAGAACCGAACATTTGACGATTACCCAAAAATGAAAATTAGAAAAGCTTTTCAGAACTTATTCCAATTTATTAGCGATTCCAAACAAAAAACTCACGTACACTACTAATATAAAGGCCGAGATTCGCACCACCACCGATACTCCCGTGTATTCGCGATATTATCCATTACCGATAGGATCTAAAGTCGAAGTAGAGACACAAATGAAACAATTGTTAGAGGATGGGATAATCAGACCTTCTAGATCACCATATAATTCACCCGTTTGGCTAGAGCCAAAAAAACTAGACGCATCCAAAAAGAAGAAATTTAGAGTGGTCATTGACTACAGGAAACTTAATTTAGTAACAGTAGCAGATAAATATCCAATTCCTAACATAAATGAGGTATTAGCCCAACTAGGAAACAATAAGTTCTTTTCGGTATTAGATCTTAAAAGTGGATTCCATCAGATTCTTTTAAAAGAAAGCGACATAGAAAAAACGGCATTTTCCATTAACAATGGCAAATATGAATTCACCCGTCTCCCTTTTGGCTTAAAGAATGCCCCAGCAATATTCCAAAGAGCACTTGATGATATCCTACGACCACACATCGGGGAAATATGTTACATTTATATTGACGACATAATTATTTTTGGAAAAGATGAAGAAACACATACTAACAATCTTAGAACTATATTTGATACCCTTGAACAAGCCAATATTAAATGCCAACTCGATAAATGCGAATTTTTCAAGAATAAAGTAGAGTTCTTAGGTTTCATAATTTCCGATAAAAGAATAGAGACAAACCCTTTAAAAGTAGAAGAAATTGCTAAGTATCCTTGTCCGAAATCACTAAAGGACCTTAGATCCTTCCTAGGTTTGTCGGGCTATTCATCAAAGATTATGCCTTATTAGCAAAACCACTTACCTCACTACTAAGAGGGGAAGATGGTCGCGGATCT